TCAAACTTCAACTTACAAGTAAGCTATCTACCCTAGTTTACGCTAGTACGTCGTCAACTGCATCGATCTGCAAAACGGCAAAGATCTACTCGGTCAAAAGATAGGAAAGATACTTAGAAAATGATTGAGAGAAAAACTCGGAGGGGAGCCATGAACATCGCATCGGGCTGCCCGATGTTTTGTCCACATAGCGAGTTACAAAGGCACGCCTATATACGGGACGATGTGATGTTCATCAAGATCATTGTGGATCGATCGTCCTGACTGGAAATAAGATTACATCTTGCATCCGAGAGGCATATGCATATGGTATTATATGAGAAAACCTAGAGTAAACGGTAGTAATAGATATTAAATCTACTGCACGTAGTTGTGGAGCACAGCGGAAAAGGAGAGAAAATAAGAGTGATGAAAGCCGTTGGAAGATGAAGAATGCACATGAGGACTGAAATGGATGGATAAATACATCTTAATTTTGATGTCTTAGAGGCCTACCTGCTCTTGACTATGCACTAAAGCCGTTCAAACACGAAGATCGACTCTCCAAAAATCGGGAAAAAGGCGCAATGCTCCATACGGACAATCAACGGTCATGGGGCCTGGGTTGCCCGTTTGGCTTTCGTTGGCTGGCCACAGTATGGAGCATCGCGCCTTTTTCCCGAYTTTTGGAGAGTCGATCTTCGTGTTTGAACGGCTTTAGTGCATAGTCAAGARCAGGTAGKCCTCTAAGACATCAAAATTAAGATGTATTTATGCATAACCAAATGTGTGTTGGCAGTCAATTTGAACGGCAAGTGTTTTTTTGACAAATAAATGCTTGAATTTGAAGCCGTGTCGGTTGTGTTTTTGGTCGGTTTGTCTCCAACCTTGTCATAATATATATAAGTAGGGGAAAGTTTATCATATTGAGCTGAAACTTCACAGGGGTGTTGAGAAAAATAAGAAGAACACTATGTTGTAGTTTGAAATAATTTTATTCAGTTTTACCACTTAAAAAAAAAATTGAAACCGCTAATGTCAACTACAAAACTGCAATTTTCTCATACTTTAAACAAAAATTACTTCAAAAAACTAAAAGAAATATAAAGAAAATCAATCAGACAGCAAATATTTTCGGAACTTACTTGTTAAAATGCAAAACAGACAACTTTCTGGACCGGAAATCTGCTACCCGGCATTTCACCGGAAATAGCAGCCATTTTGTCAACAAACCACGCGCGCAAAGCATATAGGGCCTGGGGGAACCCCCCAATTTTGTGGTGAAAAAGAAGTTGCATTTTCTAGTCTTCGACCTGATTTCTTGGGGGAAAACAAACTTCAACTTACAAGTAAGAGAGCTCCCTGTAGGCTTAATGTTCTGTCATTCACGCTCAGTTTCAAATAAGCTGAAACGACGCGATTCAGAGCAACATATTACAGTACATCGCGCCCCACGAACTACCATAAGCTTTTCTCCTCGGTGATCACAAGATCAGTACGAAATGATAATTGTATTTGGGAAGGAGAATATATATAAGTTCTGAAATAATAATAGTCGTCTCCTGAATACTTTACTAAAGTTCTGAAATATTTACTTATAAGGGCTCAAAACAATAGCCAAAAGATGCTTCCCCACATAGAATTGCCGTAATATTGCAGAAGCTAAAGAAAGCTGTCGTGAAGTCAGAATCAGATATTCTTTTATTTCATCTAAGGGATTATCATTTTCAAGAACTGAAATTCGCATCGTAATAAAATATAACCTTTGTAATATTGTAAAGCTGTTAAAACTACATAAACTGGTAAAGTTTCAACGTTATAGAGCCTTTCGTTTCGGAATTATTGACAATCAAACACGACGCGCTATAGTGAGAAATGTATGCCGAAAGCGTTCCATGGTGGATATGTCAATACCACCAGCAAAATGTCCGAAACTTCAAAGACTAATTATGATGGATTTTTCGACATATTTCAATATCTTTTACTGAAATATACTAAAAATAAATACTCTGAACATGCCTAAGGTAAAATCTTCCATCTTAGGTGAATTAGTTTTGAGTTTCAAGAAACGCGTGACAGTCTTGCGTGACAGACTTTGGGCCCTTATAACTTGAGCCATAGTTAATAGACTATTAACTATGCTTGAGCACAAAACAACGAAATGACTTCAAACTTTTCCATGTTAGTCATCTCAATAGTTTCTAAAACATATTTTGAAATTATTATTATAAGATGTTTATTTCTGGTTTTGGTTTTTCGATGACGTCACATGAAAACGAAGAATTAGATAAAATATTAGAAAATGCGCTAACTTGTGAGATTATAGCAGATTTTCATGTTTTAACCAATGGGATGGATGGATTATACATTATACAACTTTTCAGTAAAATCAGACGTTTTGATTGGTTGGCTTTCGTGTGTTATCAAAGTATAGATACACGGATTACGTCAAAACTAATTGTTTGTTGTATAAAACAGATAGATCTCATTTTTCCGTGTGTGTGTACTCTAATAGATACACAGATGACGTCAAAATGTAGCGAGAACAACAGTCACGCACTCGACTGCGTCTTGTGCGTACTTTTTTGTTCTCACTACATTTTGACGTCATCTGTGTATCTATTAGAGTACACACGCACGGAAAAATGAGATCTATTTGTTAAATACACAATTAGCACCTTCTTGCATTCCTCTTCCGTTTGCTTCCCTAGTTCTTACTCGGGCCATTACTAACCTTTAAGTTTAAGTTACTTCAATTAGAATAAGTCTATCCATATTTTTACTGAGTCATGTCTGCATTCCTTGCGTGATGTTGCCATCTAGTTCCTTCAAAAGCTGCTAAATATATTGCATGAAAAGTAATCAACCAGTTACTTTCAAATCACTTAGGCGATCACTGAAAAAGTTTTAAGCTTAAATGAGCTCAATTTGAAAAAGTACTGAATATAGCCAGCACTTTTCAACACCTTTTGGGCACAAGTACAACCTGCTGTCAGGGTCTAGTTTGATTGATGATGTATAAGTGATCACACTTAAACCATGCAACTGTACAAACTAAATAGTGCTATTTTTTTTTTTACTATACATGCAGGGTTGTTGGCCCTAAACCATTAACCTACTGATCGCACCTCCGATGATCTAATATAATACCCAGAATGCCTGCTGGATATGAAATTTGTGAAGAAGATCGTCGAAATATCCACAGGAAACATCTTTGTGGTATCTGCAGCAACGTCCTAAAGACTGCAATCCAGACAGAATGTGGACATCGTTATTGCCTTGAATGCTTGGAAGAAGAGTTTAAGTAAGTATACTTCGATTGAGTGGGCACAAGTGATAATAATATACATAATAATCTAGTGATCTTTAGGTTAACATATTACGTCTGTCTGACATTTTGTTGTAGTAAGCATAATGGGGAAATAAAGTGTGAAATCTGCGCAGAAGTGCTCACAAGAGAAAAGGTAATTTTGTCAGAAATATTTCACGAGAACGTAATAAAATAAAGTTTATTTCAACAATCATTGCCTCTTCTTCTGTAGATATTCAGAGACAAGTTTGCAGACCGTGAGATACAGACTCTCATTTTGTTCTGTATTAACTGTAATATTATTGGGTGTAAATGGAGAGGACAATTAAAAGATCGGCAGGTAAGTAATTTAGAATTGGATTGTATATTATATAGTGATCTACTGGGAAAACCCTTGTATCACTTGTGGATATGGCATTTTGAGGCCATGCTATAGACAGCAGTCAAAGATTATCCTATTTGCAGCCACTACATTTTAGTGGTTGGCTTTTCCCCATAAAGAGCAGTGCAAACAATCATACCTTACCATCACTTTTACATATTAATATTCATCACCATCATCATCAAGTTTATTCCTCTAACCTGGCGAGTGTGTAAATCGTGGATGTGATCAACTAGTCACAAAGGAAACTCTTCCAAACCATTTCCAGAATGAGTGTTTATATAATATAGAAAGGTCTTGTGTTCCTATTGCCCGTTCCAAAATTCAAAAAGGGGACTGGTGACTATTCACAAGCTCGATCCCATTTGAAGCAATCAAAAAACAGACACCAGGACAAGAAAGAGCATACTAAAATTAGTAAAGCTGCTGAGTTTGAGTGTATTTAGATTAATGATTACAGAGTTTCAAAAAAATTACAAAGAATTATATGGTGGTTTTGAGCAGCGTCCCCAAAAACCATTGACCATATGGAAAACGAGCAGAAGACTGGGAATGAGCACCCTAAATAGGGCAAGTTTTCAAAAAGCTTTTTTCACCATAAGAGAGAGTATATCTTATAACTTGTAAACTGGCGGAGTTTTAGTTTCAAATGTTAAAATAGAGTTACAAGCATTTGAAACCAAATGCTCAAAATTGACGACAACACTTATTTTAGTGTGGTCTTTCATGTGGTGAGCTTCAGTTTTCGATGAATGTCATTTTCACACTCGTTCCCAGTCTCCTTTTGAATTTCGGAATGGCCAATTGTGAACAACCAGTTAGTTTTGCCAATCTTAAAGTAATACACTAGTCAAAGTAACCCCCCCCCCAACCCGGGGGGGGGGGAGTTATGTGAGGCATTTGAAAAATGGACTTGGCAAATGTTGGTAAATACCCCACATCGTGGGGGAGAATGGGAAATCAAATCTCCGACCTCCTGGGGACAAAAACCAAAACAGAGAGAAACAAAATGCCATTGTTAACTCGGAGATTGCGTTAGCAATCGTAGAGTTATTGGGAGGGGACAAGCTGTCACTCGCTCGCTCGCTCGCTCGCTCGCTCGCTCGCTCGCTCGCTCGATCACTTTCCTGTAATCTTGAGCCTGCGATGTTTTTGTCAGCAGTTATTCATTTAATNTGGCAAGAAAACGTGCTGATGCAACAAGTGGACGACAAGTCTCGTTCTACAGCCCGCCATTCTACACAGACCCTCATGGATACAAGATGTGTGCTCGTATCTACTTGAATGGTGATGGAATGGGTAAAGGTAACCACATCAGCTTGTTCTCTGTGATCATGCGTGGAGAGTACGACCCTCTGTTAAAATGGCCGTTTAGACAAAAGGTTACAATGATGCTGTTGGATCAAGACAATGAAGAACACGTGATTGATGCCTTCAGACCAGACCCAAGTAGCAGCTCATTCCAGAAACCGAGGGGAGCCATGAACATTGCATCGGGCTGCCAGATGTTTTGTCCACACAGCGAGTTACAAAGGCACGCCTATATACGGGATGACGTCATGTTTATTAAGATCATTGTGGATCGTTCTGCAGGTGAGAAGTACTGTATATAGTAGGAATAGAACTCATATGAGATGGTATGAATCTCAAGCCGTAATCTAGTATGAGCTGCTTCATCACAAAGAGATGAATATGTAATAGCATTATATCATTACTAAAGCTGTCATATTATTTCCAGCCTATGATGGCCACTCAAATGAAGGGTGAAAATGATGCTGTTGCATCAAGATGAATACCTTCAGACCAGATCCAGGTAGCAGCTCATTCCAGAAACCAAGGAAAATAATGAATATTGCACTGGACTGTTCCATGTCCACACAGCGAGCTGCAAGGAAACACCAGTCCTACTACATATGAGAGGACATGATTTTCATTATGTTAATTGTGGATTGCTCAGTGGGTGAAGTACTGAAGTGAGAGAGAGTGCATGCTGTTGTTTTTAGTTAGTTTGTCATGAGTTCTTCCATTGACAGAAAAATAATTACTTAGACTAGCAGAAACTCAACACTCCTCATTTTCTGGTTTGTTTGCATGTTTTTTTATCAACTAGTGCACACTAACTTATATAATCTCTTCATGCTCAATAAAGTGCTGTCTCTTTTCACAAAGTAGTAGTGCTTTTTGTCATTAATAAATGAGTAGAATATTTCACATGAATTTACTCTGAGCCATCTATTGGGACAAAATTATTGTGGAACATGTTATTTGGGTCATATTGTTGTTTAAGTCTCTTCAGTTTGTCCATA